CTTTTCCGCAAATGCATTACGGTTTTTTTCAGAAACTTTTAACCCAGGTGGAGTCCAGTTGCAATTCTAAGCTCCTGATTTGACATTTACCATCTTAGTTTTTTACACGGTAAGACATTCAACCATTGCGGTCTGAACTTATCCTGGCAAGCATTGAAACTTTTTTTTCACATCAGTAGGTTCTAATTTCATTCACACTTCTTTATCAAAAAAGCGCTCCATCCAATTTTTTTTGGTTTTCGTTTTCCGGATCTACTTCACGTTTTGCTGAATCAAACCAGAATTTTAATGCATCTTTATATGTTCTATATCCGTTCTCCTAACCAAAAATCTCTTTTAAGGTAGCTTTCGCTCCTTTTGCTGAGGCTAAATAAGCGGGTGAAGCCATCAGGCGAGCAGAAATTACACCCAAGCTACTTTTGACTGCCGAGAAAACTTTTTGCAAAAAGGTGGCTATCATTAATTTTGTAATATCCCATTAGTAATCTCCCATTAGTATCAAATTTGTTTTGATAAGCTTAAGCATAATCAATAGATCTAGTAAGTTCATTAAGGAAATCAATTTTGTTAGACTTCTTTGGGTTATAGGTAATGTTTATCAAAGGAGATTTTTATCTTTTTTTGGGATGTCTTGAACTCTACCCAGCTGCTCTCATATTTGTCATTGAATACAATTAAATCTTAACGAAGCTTAGGTTTTAGGTTTTTTGGATTGAAAATCATAACACCACCGCCTCTGTTTATCTCACTGCCCTCCGTGGATCTGTCGCAGCCAATTGCGGTAACTTGTTTGTTGCTCAGTGTCCATAGCATATAGTCATTTGAGTTTTTGAACCAAGTCTCGGAAAGTCCATAAATTATGTTATATCCGCGCTCGCGCATTAGTTCATCAAGATAGTTTTTTTTCATGTTTAGACTTCTGCAGTTTAGATATAAGACTTCGATGTTGTCTCTGTAGTCTTCGAGTTTTTTTCGATATTTTTCTGAGACCCATGTTCGGACCTGGTTTTGGATGAACGTCTCCGGAGCGAAAGAGTCTGTTTTTAGCCACGCAATAGTTATGACGGTTTTTAGTGATGATGAGAAAGATAAAACCAATAAGTCAAACATTGAATGTTAATAACAAAAGGAGCTTGAAAGGCACTAAGTAAATTATTTGAATTTTGGTAGACATATGATCAAAAGCAGTGTTTTGTAAAAAGAAAGGTATACCATGTTTCTCAATCAAATGATTAATTTTCCAATAGAAGAAACTCCAATTTGTCATAGATTTTCATTTCTGTAAAAAAAAACTGTCTCTTATTTTCAACTACGTACAAGGGTCTCTCAGATCTTGGAAAGCATCCATCGGAAACACCACCTTGTTAAGTAGAATCGAAAGTATCATAGTAAACGAGGTTACAGTCAGGAGTCCCTTCATCACAAATTACAGTCGAGATCCTTGGGTTTTTCCAGGTATGGAAATGATAATGATAAAAGAAGATGACAAGTGTTGCTGTCCCTATAATTGAAATCGATTCGGGATACGTTTCTTCAATAACTAAACGCAACTCAACACGAGAAAAAAACAATTTACAAATCTAATTAAGGTACAAAAAACAAAATTTCGTGCAAAAGTTCGCAATCTGTTTTGCCAGGGAGATTCTCCGATTTGAAAAGCTGCCTGCTCTGGGTTCCTCAATGCATATGCTTAGATTCTTACAAATCTTCCTCAAATCAAATTCTGTGCTGGGGCTGGCCGCGCCCTGAATCTCACAAGCTAGCGGTTGCAAAACATACCAATCATTTACTAAGTCTTTATACTTGTCATTTTTTTGCTCTTTCGCTTCAGCGGCAGCCGTATCAGGGTTACAAACAAACCCGGCACTAATGCTACTAGGAGCTAAGGAGTCTACTACCGTTGCATCCGACAAGAGCTGCTTACCAACAGCCCATGGAACGAGCTTCAAACCGTCTGGTCGCTTCTGATCTGTCCTGTGGAGATGTCGTGGTTCTAAAACAGACGGAATGTGAGTAGATGATAAATTCTGCTTTATAAGAGCATTTTGGTTCGAATGCCTAGATAATCTCCCTGCACATTTGAGGCAAGAAAGACCATGCCAACTATCGTCGATAACGTCTTTTCCACACACGCACTTATGCCGTTCGCAATTTTTGGAGCCTAATCGAAGTCCTATTGCAATTCTGAGTTGTTTGTTTGACAGTTTTAACCTAAATTTTTGCACGGGATGACATTCAACCATTAGGAGCAAAATCTATCTTGGAACGCGTTGAATCTTTTCAAGTCCGTTCGTTTGAGTCGTAAAATCAAGTCTACAATTCCACTGTCCATTTTTTTTGGATTTCGTTTTCCGGAGCCAAACAAATTTTTCCAAGTTCAAACCACCGTTTAAACGAATCATCATAAGTTCTATCCAAATGCTCCAAACCAAAAATTTCGCTTAAGGCATTTTTCGCTCTAACTGATGAGGCTAGCAAAGCGGGGAAAGCTAGAAGACGAGCGAAAGAAACTCCCAAGCCTTCTTTTAGCTGCCGGGAGAACTGCTTTTAAAAAGTGCTTATCTATTTTTGCATTAGTGACCTTGCAAAACGAATTTCCTATTAATTTGTCGTAGCGTTCCAAAAAATCATTTTGCAAAACATACGGGCTCGTACGCAAAAAGTATAGGAGTTGTGGCATGCTAAAGCATCTTCTCAGGGGGTAAAAACCATAATGGGCGTCTAGTTTGTCAATAACATCCGAGATTTTTTCAAGCTCACTAATTTTTTTGTCGAGTATTTCTTTTCGGCTAAATCAACCAAATGCAGATTCTATAAGGGAGAGTTCATCTTTGTTTTTATTTTTTTTGGGCGTATTTTTCGAAATTGAATTATACTGTGAACTCGTAGTCAACCCCATAAAACAAAGTTCGCTCTTCTCAGTGTTCAAGCTCAGGCCGTAAATTTGTCCCAATTTCAGAGTACTTTTTATGTGTCCGGAGTACTAACTTATAGTAGTTGGCTAAATTTCCATCATCTAAACACCAGATGTGAATTTTCGACTCACACTGTTGGACTAGAGTCTGAATTGTTTCCGCAAAAAAAGGTGTGGCTTCAGGATCGCCTTGCTAAATTCCGTCTTCTGACATTATGATAGAGCTTGCGTAAGAAAGGTAACAAGGTTTACTATACGCGCAACGGATGTATTTGTACTTTCGGGGCGATTTGAAAAAACATGATTCAGCATTGTTTCTCTATTTAGAGAGTTGAAGGCATTCTTAAAATCTAGTTTTAAAAGAACAGTGCGTTTTGGATTGTCGTCGCGTCCAATCCGTTTTCGAAACGAGCGTGCAACTAATTTTGCTCCTCGTTTAGTACCGCATCCTTCCTGTATGTTTCCGAAAGTAGATTGCGCTTGGAGAGGGCCTTGCTTCCAGCGCATTTAGACGCGACACGTCTCAGCGTGTTGCCTATGGCAATCGGTCTCAAGCATCCGTCTATCTTTATGAGGGCGATAGGCTTTGCGCCAAAGAAGAAAGGTCTTAGGGGTTCGGTTATTTGGCCATCTCCAATGAGGTTTATCAGTTTAGTATGCGATTTCTGAAAATTAATTCCTAGACTGCATTCGAATTACTAACAAAATTTTTAAAAATTTGAGGAACTACTTTATACGGACCTGCTGCTGATCCGTTCGAAAAGGACATTATCGCTTTGTATATGTCAAATTCGGTTACAAAAAACAATCTGAACCGTCGAGATTTGAAGCTGAAAATTTGGCTCGCTGAGGGTACTTAGGCAACAACTTTTGAGAGTTAACAGTAGAAAAAGGAGCAATTTTGTCATTCGAAGCAGCAAGCCTTATCCCTCCCTCTATTTTTCTTTCATACAGCTTACTACTTATTAGCTTTATTCTCTGCTCGAAGTCACTTTTACCGTCAATTTTACAGGAATTGTGCGACGATAGTAGAGCTATCTTGTTCCTGATAGGAACACGAAATTTCTGGAAGAGAAGAAAAACAATCACTTGTACCGGAGTGAACCTTGAGTGGAAAGATGGACAGCTGAAGCTGCACAATGGTTCAATTGGAAAACTTGTCTCTTGAGCTAAATACTTCCTTTTTCAAACCTACTGAGTTATACCTAATTACCAAATCAATTCCAGAGTTGCTTTACAGTTTAGTTACTCAAATCTACAGGTCGTGTCGGTATCTAAGTACCCAATTTAAATTTCATGAGTGTGTTTTATTTTGTTATGTTGAGTTAGGGAGAGTTTTTAGTTTGATCCATCTGAAACTGATCAAAGGTCCACTGTCCAACAAAAACTAACGTTATACGAAAGGTTCCGACCCTGTTTTTAACGGCGTTCGTGTGTTTTGGATACTTTGAGACCTGAGCATGGGGGCGTTCTTATTTCTAGAGTGGGGAGTTTTTTGGTAGTAGCCTTTACGCTGTAACACGGATTGTAGTCTCATGTCGCAAGTGAACCAAATTGGGGGGGGGGGGGGGGGGTTGATTTTGGTTTTTTGGATCTGTTTTGTTTCTTCTGTCAGTTTGTTTGCAGTTAGCCTATTTCGGAATTTTTTCTCCGTTTCTATCAGGACTTCATGTTTAATTGGCAGCGGAGTTTCCGTCATTTGTTGTTGACTCATGCTCTCAGTTTGAATCCTGGAGGCAAAAAAGCCTGCACCCGGATATATTTGGAGCAAAAATAGTGTTTTTATTTCAAACTATAGAAATATTTTGCACAAGCGTGTTTTCTTCACATTTAATCCATGGATTATATTTTATGAAGTGCAATTGGTGACATCGAATTTCTGAAAATCTTTTTTTTCCTGTTTAAGCAAAATGTTTGGTTTTGAAATGGCAAAACTATGACTGAAAACAAAATATGAGAATTTCGATTGTTTGTTTTATTTTTGAAAAAAGGTCAGTCTCAAAGCATTGAGTGTTTATTCGTGCGACTATAAAAATATGTCGTTTTATTGTTACGTGTCTTTATTTGATATTTGATTTGTTTTTCTCACGTGTGAAAAACCTTTCACTGCATGTGCTTTGCATCCCTAGATTCGTTTAGGGATACGGTTCACAACTTTTGTTATAAAATTCAAAAATTTTAAGGATATCCTTTTAAAAAAATTCAAAAAAATTACAAAATCCCCCCGAAAACCCAAAAAAATAGTCTATCCGTGGTTAGTCGACAACAAACAAAGAGCTGGTGAGTCAGTGTTTAACTTATCTAGTTAAGTGAAAATTGTTGTAATGTGTTTCATACTGGCGATTATAAAGCTTTCAATTAATAATGGCCGCTTCAGAGTCTTTCAAAATTATTGGGAATTCCTAAAGTTTTTTGTTATCTAGTGCGAAATGTCTAATCCTGCTGTTGGAAATCCTCCTCTCTCCTCGAGCAGTTTGCCGATTGCTTCCCTGTATGTGGGAGACCTCTCACCGGATGTCACCGAGGCAATGCTTTTCGAGAAGTTCTCTCAAATAGGACCCGTTCTGTCTATTCGCGTGTGCAGAGATGTGGTTACTAGAAGATCGCTTGGATATGCATATGTCAACTTCCAAAATCCTACTGATGGTAAGAGTTTAATTTTAAACACATCAACACTAATCAACTCCCTTTTATCATCAATTCAAAGTCTAGAAAATTCCAAGGGTTTTGAAGGTAATATGTGACGAAGGGACTCCTGACTGTAGCCTCGGTTACTATGATGCTTTTGAATCTGATTAATAAAAAAAGAGAATTGGCATGCTACACCAGTGGACAAAATCAAAGGCAAATTCAGAGGTTTTTACTCTCTAAAAGCCTATTATTAAGGACTATGTCGGACAATATTTACTTTATTTTAACAAAATTTTAACCTTGACCGACAGCAAATGATTGAACTACTGTCTGTTAAAGTCTCAATTTTTAATTTTAAGCACTTAAGTTTTTCCGCGACAGAAAAGGGCAGTTTTCATCATCCGCACTTAATTTGTTTAAATGCGTGAAGTTCTAAGAAACAGCCAAGTTTAGGAAAGTCGTCACACTGATCATAGATAGATGGTAGCTCTGGTGATTTCCTCTTGATCTATGTGAAATTTCTGCTGGAAATCAAAGTAAATAATGTCCAAAAGGACATTGGAAACAGGAATTTTAGAGAGTAGAAACCTGACATTGCGCTTAATTTTGTCCTCTAAAGTAGACCTACTGCATTGATCCAATTTTCTCTATTTAGGTGACCTTAAAGCTATTAGACCTTCAAAAAAAAATTGTCGTTTTTGGCATCCTTGATTGAAGTGAAACCTTTCGGTACTACTATGATAGAGTGGTCCCTTGAAAGTAACCAGGTCCCATGAGAGAAAGACGCCTAGAGCTCTCAAATCGTTTAATAACTATGATTACATCTCTCAGAAAGATGTCGCAGTATATTTTCAAACAAATTTCATGTTTTGTTACCTCTTAAAACCTCCCCCTCCATTTTAAGGTTGAAAATTAAAAAAAAACCGCCAATGGTGGGTTTTGATGACAAATAAGTCAACCCAATTATATGGTTGTTAAACCGTAAAATAAAGTAAAGCGAGCAAATTTCATAAACAATAGTGATTACAATTTTCAATCTGAAAAAATTCTGGCTGAACATATTTTGCAAGATTTTTGAAATGAATAATTTATACACAAATTAGTTTTGAAAATTATAACATGCGAAATGCATGCGGGACCTGTCTATCATAGTTGCTTTTTCGAGGGACCACTCTATCATAGTAGTACCAACCTTTCAAACATAGTTTTTATTTTACCTCAATGGTTCATTTGTTTTAGCGGAGAAAGCCATCGATCAGTTGAATTTCGAGCCTATTAAAGGCGATAAACCCATGCGTATAATGTGGACGCAAAGGGATCCTAGTCTCAGGAAATCAGGTGTCGGAAACATTTTCATCAAGAACTTGGACAAAAGCATCGACAATAAGGCTCTTTGCGATACATTCGGAGCCTTTGGAAAAATTTTGTCTTGCAAGGTAAAAATAATTGAGATCCACAGGGAGTTTCTGCACACCAGAGAAACAAAATAAGGCTCCCCCCCCCCATAACCTCCCCCCATAAGGGGGAGGGGAGGAAAAAGAGCCCAAGACAGACTTGTTTCCTAATAGTAGTTTTTCCAAAGACAATGGGAACAGAGCTATTGAAATTGAAGAGATATTGACTTTTTCCTTTTCCCCCACCTCACTCAAACATGAAGTTAGTGGTCTAGCGAGTGGTTTAAGGTTAATTATATGAAGACCAAATATGTTTGTGATGGCCTAATCAGTCTGCATGTCGAGTTTCACGACAATCGGACATAGTGAACAAAAGATTCAAATATCAAAATTTGCAGGTTGGGGGGAAACGGAAAAAGAGCCGAGATATTTAATTGAAATAAATGATCTAAAATCTTAAAAATGTTTCAACTAAATGTTTCCTTCTTTCACAATTGTAGTTTTTCAAAGTTCAATAGCATTTTTTTAATTGTCTATGTGTGTTGCTCAGCTTAGACTCAGCAGTGGAATAAAATAGATCATTTTGAATTTAAGTGGTTTTGATTCATTAGCATAAAAGTTGAGAAATTTTAAAATCGAATCAGCTCTTATCAAGTCTGCTTTTGAGTTTTACGGATTTCGATTTACTAAAGTTGATTTGAAGGGTTTTTGGCTGTTCTAAACTGCAATAAAACGAGTCAGCGTGAAAAAGTGAACAGATGTTTTCAAAATTTCCATGCGATCCATGAGTTTATAGGGGATAGTTTATAGGGGAGTAGGGTAGGCTAAGTAGTACAGTAGTTCACAAAATTCAAACGCAAATTCAGATTTTAACTCTTCAAAATGACTAATGTGTTTTTAGGTTTTGTTTGAAGATAAGATTGTATTTGGTATCCATGGGTTCCGGGAGTTTAGTTCCCGGAATCAACTGCACAATTCCCGGATCCCCCAAATCGCTTTAGGGAGCATCATGTTTAGAGAAAAAATCAATTAACTATAATCACACGTAAAACAACTAAGAAAAATGAAAATCAAATTTGGGGAAGTGCGAAAGAGTCATTTCTCTAAATATGATGGGAAAAGACGCGATTAAGATAACTTCGAAGAGAAAATTTCATCACCTAAATAGCAGATTGTAGCCCAACAAAACAAAAATTGCATGAAAAGTTAAAAGAAATTACGTTTTCCGAGTTTATATGAAATGCAGATTCTAAACTGAATTTTTTCAGAAATAATACATAATTGGTGAGGACATTCTAAGGTAGGTTTTTCAGTGGACAGGTTGTACGGTTGATAAAGGAGAGTTTGCCACTCAATGGAAGGAATCAGTTTTTGTCCAAGTAATCAAAAAAGGTGATAAATCAAAAATAGAACATTACCGACCAATTTCCTTACTGAATGCAACATCGGAAGTCTTGGAGATGCTCATGTACATCTACGAACTTTTTGAACCCTTCCTTTCTTCAACGTCGTTTTATTGTCTAGCTATCTATCCAACAGGAAACAGCGTGTAAAGGTCAATGTTAGTCTCCATATTTTTACAAGTCACCAGCGGAGTGCCACAGGGATCTTTACTACGACCTCTTTTGTTCGGTATTTACGTAAATGATCTACCGTCTCTGGTGCTACTTGTAAACTATTTGCGGATATTCTGAAGGCTTGTAATAGTGAAAGACAGTCTTCTGTGCGCTCTGGATACGCTATCGAAAAGGTGCAAAGACAATTCAATAAGCGTAAATATTAAAAATGCGGATTTTTAAGGTAACGACAACAGAGTTCTGCTTTGACCCACACGTGTTTGAACAGAAAAGCTTTGGAAAAAAGATCTAGACAGAACTTTCAGATAATCTAAATTGGGATGTACATATTAAACACGAGGTGTTAAAAGGCGTATGCCTCATTGCACATGGCGAGACTAACATTTCTCTACTTACCTACCAATATACCAAACTACACTTACTTGGAGGAATTTTGATACCAATCTTACTATATAAATTGCCGGTGTGGTATCCGAGTAAAGGTGCATTTCGTTCTATTGAGCTAATTCAAAAACGCGTTACAACAAGGATATACCCAAACACCGAGTGCAAAGACCGTCTCATGCACCTGAGAATACTTCCTTTATCGCTCTACAGAGATGCATGATATTCTTCTATTTAGTGAAATAGAACGAAAGTATAACGTTTCAAGGAAAGTATAACGTTCCATGGAGTGCATATGGTGACATCAACAAAATCTCAAACAAACCAGAGCAGTATTTGAACAAAAAGAATCGTTCGTACTACAAAAAGTTCGACTGTCATCCAGCAAATAAAATTTTTAGCACCGATTTTTTTTTACACAAACAAACTGGCAGTCAAGTGAAAATTTGTGGAGAAAGCGGCAAGAAAGAATTATCCGAATTTTACAAGAACTACTTCAAATCTTGTTTCAACTAGTTCAACATACAAAGTTGGAACTTATTGGAGATATAACGAAACAGACTAGAAAACTTCTGTTTGCCTTTTAAGACCTTCCATTAAATGGAGAAACCCATTATCATCATTTATATTATTATTATGGGTCTGAAATTTCAGCAAGATATGCTCTGCAGTTCGTGGGTTAACTTTCCTTAAATTTGCTGTCTTACAAATTCACTTCGTTCCATAAATATACTGCATGCAGCGAAAACAGTTTAACTTGCCTTAAAGATTTTTTCTATCTGAAATCATGTAAATACTTTTTACTAAATGTTTCCTACTTTCTCAATTGTAGTTTTTACAATTTCAATAGCTCCTTTCTAATTGTCTATGTGCTTTGCACTGATTAGAGTCAGCAGTGGAATACAGCATAATCCTTTTGAATTTAGTTGGTTTTGATAAGCAAAAAAAGTTGATAAAAGTTTTTTGGTGTTCCAAACTGCATTAAAACGTGTCAGCGTGAAAAAGTGAACTCAACGTTTCCATGCGAATTGCAAATGAACAATTTCAAATATTAATTTACAGTTAAAAGTGGATACAAATTTGGAACAGGGTAGACTAATTAGTACAGTAATTATGCAAAGTACAGTAGTTGACAAAATGCAAACTCAAATTCAGATTTCAACTTCTTCAATGACATTCTATTTGATGAATTTTTTCTTTTTTTTTTGAAGAAAGATAGTATTTCGTTTTAATGAGTTGAACGAGTTTATTCCGGGAGTCAACTGTACAATTCCCTGACCCCGCAATCGATTTAGCGACTATCAGATTTAGAGAAAAAAATCAATTAGGTGATAAATCTAGTTGTTTCTCTGGCTCTTTTCTACTTTCTTCACCTTAAATTTCAGTTTGGAAAACCTACTTAAACTGTGTCGTAATGTAATGAATTTTCGCATGGTGAACAACTCAACTATTTTGAACAGTTTTGTTCTTCATACTTTGCATCGTATTATCACACTCTTAGCCATAATCACACGTTAAACAACAAAGAAAAATGAAATGCGTGGGAAGTGGTAAAGAGACTTATCTCAAAATATGATGGGGAAAGACGTGCGATAAGATGACTTCGAATCGAAACATAATTCGATAAATAAATCTTTTAATTTGTTAATCTGATTTTACTAATTTGTAGCCCAGCAAAACAAATTGAATGAAAAGTTTCTAAATAATTACATTTTCCGAGTTAATATGAAATGCAGATTCTAAACGGAATTTATTATCAGAAGTAATACATAATTTGGGAGGACATTCTACGGTAGGTCACTTAGGGCCAAGATTGTACGGTTGATCCATTTCGGGTCAATAATTTGGGAGGACATTCTACGGTAGGTCACTTAAGGGCAAGATTGTACGGTTGATTCATTTCGGGTCAAAAAATGTACTCTCAAAAATATGATTTAATTTACACATTTCCCAATGACTTCTGTTGTTTGTTTCTTTTTGTTTTTACTCTTGCGAGAGCAAGTGTCTTGAATTAATTAGCTAACAATTGTTGTGCGAAATAGATGTTGCAATCTCTATTACCTGTAGATTGCCCTGGACGACAAAGGCAAATCGTTGGGATATGGGTTTGTGCACTACGAGAAGCAAGAGTCTGCAGATGCTTCAATTGGACAATTGAATGGCAAACTGCTGAATGACAAACAAGTGTGAGTTCAGTTTCCTAAAAGTTTCTGAGATTGAACCAATATCCAAACATAAGGTATTTTAATTTACCCTTGCGGTTAGCAAGAATGCTGCCACCGGGTACCATATTTTCTCAAAACTCTTGGAAGAATCTTCAGCTTACTTAATTAAGTGTCATTGAGCTTAGTAGTGAAAACACTTATATAGGTCGTGATGATTTTTTTCGTTTTATCGGGAAAAAGTAATTTGATTGAACTTAGTTTGATTTTCGAATTAACTATGTAATGTATGCACTTTTTGAGTTCAATTCAAACTCAGTTGTTGAAATAAAGAAAATTTACGCTCTCCAATAACAAAAACGGAGAACACTAATTAGTAAACCTTTCAGGGGATTTTATATTTTAGGTCCCTGCGGAATAACAAATTGCTCTCTGATCCAGTTTTATTAATTGGGCTAGTTTTATAACAAAAAATATGAAATAATGAAATATATTTTAAATTTAGAGAGCTTCAAAATGATACATTTTGAAGTGTAAACGGACGAAATTGAGCGGAATGAGTTATGAGCGTAATTGAGGTATGAGCGTAAGGAAGACTCTTATATAGGTCTTGCTGAATTTTTTGTTCTTTTTTCAGGAAAAATATTAAATTTGTTCACGCTCAATTTTGATTTTCGCGGTTTGACTTATGATATTTTTCTAAGTTCAGTGCATTGACATTATTAGAAGGAAGACAAACGTCAATATCGAACAGCAAAAGTGTAAAGGTCACGAAATTTGTGATCGACTTTTAATTTCGAAATTGGAAATTAATTAGCAGATTTCCCAGCGAATTAAAAGTTTTGACTACCGATCCAGTTTTCTCAAATTGGGTTAATTTTTACAAAAAAGAGTCCATCATAAATTGTTCTACAAGCTCAATGGGCTTTAAGGGCATCTACGAAACTCAAAAAAGTTTTTGAAAAAACAGGTCAGTTTTTTTTTCAGTTTCTTTGGGTTCATTGCTCTTTTCCAACTCAGTTGGCTATGTTTTTCTCTTAAATTGATAATTTTTTTCAGGAAAATCATAAAATTGTTTACGCTCAATTGTCATTTTAGTGGATTGATTTATGATCACTTGTGAGATCAGCTTAGTGTATTATAACGAACCTTCTTTTTTTAATAACCTAACACGCAAAAAAATTTGTTCGCTTATGTGGAAATTTCACTGTAGCAGTAGAAGTTGCATAGCATCTGTTTAAGAGTAATGAACGTAGTGAAGACTCTCATATAGGTTTTGTTGATTTTTTTTTCTCAGGAAAAAGTCGATAAATATTGATGCACTAAGTTATAATGCACTTTTTGAGTTCAATTGAAATTTACCTGCTGAAAGTGACGTAAATAGCACTCTCTAGATACGAACGTGGGAATGTAAATCTCTACCTAACCGGTTCGAATAGCAGACGTAGCCGATTTTTTTAAAAACTAATTTGAGGATTATTTCTAATTTTTATTGCACTTTATAGAGCTGCTTTTCGTGTTCTCACAAAAGCTTCGCCTCTGTAAAAATTTTGATCCAATGTTCTCAAACTTGGTTAATTTTACCAAAAAAGCAACAATCTTAAATTGCTTGGGGCTTTCAAGGTACTCTCATGTGTTGCGAATCTTGTCTCCAAATTTGACGGCTCAAATCCTTGTAGTATTCGAAAAATGACGTTTTTCATAATTTTTCAAAACTTAGAAAATTCCCAGCCCTTTGTTTGGGTATTGTGAAGGTACCCTCAGGAGTTGCAAATCGTGCGTCCAAATGTGACTGCTCAAATGATGTTAGTTTACGAGATGTGACGTTTTTTAAGACTTAGGTTTTGGAAAACTTAGGTTCAAAAAAAAGTGAAATTTGTAGCTCGCAACCGTTTCGTGGAGTGGTCTCAAGTTATTCTCAGTGATGCATACCAGTTGTTCATAAAACTGCCAATCTAAGTTATACAAAGAGCTTTAAGGTCATTTTTTTTCCTAGCGTTCATTACTCATTTATGTCAGTTAGCTTAGTTAATTAAATTGCAGAAGTTGCTATTTGGTCAGCAAGAGGTCTTATTTTAGGTTCGTAGGGCCATTTATTCCTAAAAAAGAGCGGGACAGAGCGACGGAGGGCAAAAGGAAGTTCACGAACTTGTACATCAAGCATATTCGTGATGATGTCTCAGACGATCAGTTGAAGGAACTTTTTTCAAAGTTCGGAAGTATTTCAAGTGTCTATCTCCAAAAGGACATGGATGGGCGAAGTAAAAAATTTGGATTTGTGAGTTTCGAAGATCCTGAATCCGCAAATGCTGCTATGACTGAAATGCAAGGGAAGGATGATATCCCCGAAGTACAAGAGGGCAAAAAACTATACATCGCACCCGCTAAGAAGAAGGCTGAAAGACAGCAAGAACTGCGAGAGAAGTTTGAGCGCATCAAGCAAGAGAGGGCAAACCGGTACCAGGGCGTGAACCTGTATATCAAAAACCTGGAGGACGATATTGACGATGCTGATTTGCGCAAAGCGTTCGAACAGTTTGGAACTGTAACATCAGCAAAAGTAATGATGACTGAGAACGAAATTTCACGAGGTTTCGGATTTGTCTGCTTTAGTTCTCCCGAGGAAGCTACTAAAGCTGTGACTGAAATGAATGGTCGTATTCTCAAGTCGAAGCCCCTCTATGTTGCTCTGGCTCAACGTAGAGATGAGAGACAAGCGCAGTTGAATCAAATGTACAACCAAAGGCAAATGCCAGGTCTGCGCGTTGGGCCTGCTGCTCATCAAATACCAGTGTTCCCCCAGGGTGGTGCCGCCCAAAATGCATACTTCATGGCAGCTGGCCCAGCTGGAATGGCAGCCCCACGAGGAAATTTTTTCCCCGCAATGGCTGCATCTGGTGTCCGAGGGCCGTCGCCAAGGTGGCCTGCTTCGGCCGCTGCTATGCGACCAGGTAATATCAGTGTTATCAATATTCTGACTTGTTTTTGGATGGTTATATCAAAAGGGTTCATTATCGAGTGAAAGGCTCAATAATGAGTGAAAAGTCCCAACCTTTGATTTTTATCAGTAATTTTTGTTCACATTGTCTGGTTCGCACGTTTCCAATTTGACCTATTTCCTCCGTAAGATTTATGTTGATTTATGGCAATTCGAAATTAACATTGAAACTAATTAAATTAGTGTAAGTTATCCTTGATTTAGTGTCAATTTTCCTATGTTCTTCGCAACAAATGTATTATTTTCGATGACTATATAAAACTGGATAATGTTTTCTTATGGTGGTGTGTTTCTAATTTTAGGCCCACAGCCAGGGGTTGGAGGAATGGGAATTCCTGGGCAAGGTATGTACAGAGGAAACCCGCCTAGGGCTAGTGTGCAGCAGCCGAATATGCCACGTGGACAGCCCAATCCATCGCTACAACAAAATGCATCTAGGATGCCTATGTCGTCAATGATGAGACTTCCTGCTGCTCAACAAGCTATTGCAGCTCAAATGGCTGCCGCTCAAGCTCAGCAGGTGAGAAAGCTGAATTATTGGAAAAACTTAGGAGGGTAAAAGAAAAACGATTCATTTGTACTTAAAAAAGGTCAATACGGAATTTTCGCTTTTGATTCATTCAAATGGAAGGCAAGGAGACTTATAGACTTATACACGGTTACTAGGAGACAGTCTAGGCAAAAAATTATCGAAAATCTACTTGCATAACCCTAGTATGAACAGTCGTATATAATTTTACCTCTTTTCCTACCCACTTCACCTCACCTTCTTGAGTTATTAAGAGTTGATGAACTTAGTGAAGACTCCTATAGAGGCCGTGATCATGTTTTCTGGCAAAGTCTTAAAATTTGTTAAGACTCAAATTTGATTTTTTCAAGGTTTGTTTTCTGAATTTTATAGTTCAACTCCTTATTTACACTAGCAAGCGTAATGAATAGTAATGAAATTTAACCCGCTTAAATGTTCCGTTAATTATTATCACGATCTGTAGCATTGGAAATTTCATAGCATCTTCTGTTCTATTTGTGGCTCATGCTTGAAAATTGTTGAGCGTCCGTGGTTGGTGCGTGAAACGCATAATCTCCAGGTCGCAGGGTTGAATCCGAGACGTAGCCGAATTTTCACTAAATGTGAACGATTTCTAGTTTCGAAAGTGGAAATATTGTTGAGATCTCCCAGCGGAATAAAAATTGCCTATTGATCCAGTTTTCTCAAGTTGGGTTCATGTTATCAAGAAAGCGCCAATCATAAAAATTGTTCAAGAAATTCGAAGAGCTTAAAGGGCATCGATTTTTTTTCTTTGAAATCCGAAAGGTGAGATTTTATGTTTCTTGCGTTCATTACTCTTTTCCAATCTTCGATTGGCTATGTTTTTTGTTTCTCATCTTATTTACTTGAGTAAGAGTCGAACTTAAATCATTTTCTTATATAGGTCGTGATATATCTAATAACAAAAGAAGTAGTTTCATACTTATGAGTGCACAATTTATTGTCTTTAGGTTTATATGCATTTTTGAGCTCAATTCAGGCTCATTTGCTAGGAGCTAGGCAAAATACACTCTGCAATTATGAAAGCTGAATTGGCGCAAAAAATTGGGCTCTTTTCCAGTTCTCCCCTTACAAATTCAATTTTGAAAAGCTTTTTTAACGTAATGCAATGAAATTTAGCGGGGTGAATAAATCGACAACTGTGAACAGATTTGTTTTTCATACTTTACAGTGTAAAATTTCGCAGTTAGCCGTAATAACACGTAAAGCAAACATAAAACTCGGTATTTTAAAAAGGGGGAACTGGAAAAGAGCCAAAAATTGTTGATGACTTAGTTGCGAAAGTGGAATTCAGTTTAAAGATGTCCCAGCGCAATAGTAATTTTTCTTAATTAACCAGTTTTCTCAAATTGGGTTATAAAGTTCCAATTTTAAATTGCTCTTGAAATTCACAGAGCTTGAAGGCAATTTATTTTTTGTTTGAATTTTGAAAGTTAAACAAATGATTTTGTGACAGCATTCATTATGTGTTTTCCAACTATCTGTTGGCTATGGTTTGGTATTCTGCATTTTAAATGTTAATTGAATATTGCTTGATGATACGATGTAAAGTATGAAGAAAAAAATTAATAACAATAGTTAGTATGTTCCTTTTTGATTAAAACAGGTATTAAGAAATTGTTAAGGATTGGGTTTTTTATCTAATTTTTGAAAAACCAATGAAAAGTCGGCCCACTCTCTTTTGTGCCTGCTCAATTCTTTAGTCTCTCTTTTTTACTTAACCCCACTTTCGACAGCCTCCAAAAAGCGTGTGGGGGAATTTCTGACCCAAGTCATTGGTTTTTTTAATACGTTTTCCCAAAAACTACCTTCCCAAATCAGATTATGGGCTCAACGAATAAGCGGCTACGCCCAATTTTTTTACACAAAGTTATGGTCCTCTGAAAAGTCAAATTTTTGATTTTTGACCTTTTATCAAAAACTACTTAACCAAATTTGAGATTTTAATTTCAGTCGAAAGGACGGGCTGTGAGAAGCTCCCCTGCATAAGCGGTTACGCCCGAGTTTTTTTAACAAAAAAACGATCCTCGTAAAAGTCGGTTTTTTGACCTTTTTTTAAACAGATTTTTCTCAAACTACCCTCCTAAATTTGGGATTTTGGGTTCAACGGATAGAAATAGTTGTGAAAACTACCCTCCAATAGCGGTGAAGCCCAAGTTCTTCAAATTTAACCCGCTTAAATATTCCGTTAATTATTATCACGATCTGTAGCATTGGAAATTTCATAGCATCTTCTGTTTTATTTGTGGCTGATGCTTGAAAATTGTCGAGCGTCCGTGGTTGGTGCGTGAAACCCATAATCTCCAGGTCGCAGGGTTGAATCCGAGACGTAGCCGAATTTTCACTAAATGTGAACGATTTCTAGTTTCGAAAGTGGAAATATTGTTAAGATCTCCCAGCGGAATAAAAACTTGCCTATTGATCCAGTTTTCTCAAGTTGGGTTCATGTTATCAAGAAAGCGCCAATCATAAAAATTGTTCAAGAAATTCGAAGAGCTTAAAGGGCATCGATTTTTTTTCTTTGAAATTCGAAAGGTGAGATTTTATGTTTTTTGCGTTCGTTACTCTTTTTTAATCTTCGATTGGCTACGTTTTTTGTTTCTCATCTTATTTACTTGAGTAAGAGTCGAACGTAATTCATTTTCTTATATAGGTCGTGATATATCTAATAACAAAAGAAGTAGTTTCAAACTTATGAGTGCACAATTTATTGTCTTTAGGTTTATAGGCATTTTTTGAGCTCAATTCAGGTTCATTTGCTAGGCGCTAGGTAAAATACACTATGCAATTATGAAAGCTGAATTGGCGCAAAAAATTGGGCTCTTTTCCAGTTCTACCCTTACAAATGCAATTTTGAAAAGCTTTTTTAACGTAATGCAATGAAATTTAGCGTGGTGAACAAATCGACAACTGTGAACAGATTTTGTTTTTCATACTTTACAGTGTAAAATTTCGCAGTTAGCCGTAAAAACACGTAAAGCAAAAATAAAACTCGGTATTTTAAAAAGGGGGAACCGGAAAAGAGCCAAAAATTGTTGATGACTTAGTTGCGAAAGTGGAATTCAGTTTTAAGATGTCCCAGCGCAATAGTAATTTTTCCTAAATAACCAGTTTTCTCAAATTGGGTTATAAAGTTCCAATTATAAATTGCTCTTGAAATTCAAAGAGCTTTGAAGGCAATATATTTTTTGTTTGAATTTTGAAAGTTAAACAAATGATTTTTTGTGACAGCATTCATTGGGTGTTTTCTAACTATCTGTTGACTATGGTTTGGTATTCTGCATTTTAAATGTTAATTGAATATTGCTTGATGATACGATATAAAATATGAAGAAAAAAATTGTTCACAATAGTAAGTTTGTTCCTTTTTGATTAAAACAGGTATTAAGAAAATGTTAAGGATTGGGTTTTTTATCTAATTTTGAAAAGTCGGCCCACTCTCTTTTGTGCCTGCTCAATTCTCTAGTCTCTCTTTTTACTTAACCCCACTTTCTACAGCCTTCGAAAAAGCGTGTGGGGGAATTTCTGACCCAAGTCTTTGTTTTTTTAATACGTTTTCCCAAAAACTACCCTCCCAAATGAGATTATGGGCTCAACGAATAAGCGGCTACGCCCAATTTTTTTACACAAAAAGTTATGGTTCTCTGAAAAGTCAAATTTTTGATTTTTGACCGTTTATCAAAAACTACTTAACCAATTTTGAGATTTTAATTTCAGTCGAAAGGACGGGCTGTGAGAAGCTCCCCTGCATAAGCGGTTACGCCCGAGTTTTTTTTTAAACAAAAAACGATCCTCGTAAAAGTCGGTTTTTTGACCTTTTTAAACAGGTTTTTCTCAAACTACCCTCCTAAATCTGGGATTGTGGGTTCAACGGATCGAAATAGTTGTGAAAACTCCCCTCCAATAGCGGTGAAGCCCAAGTTTTTTTCTGCACAACAAGTCATGGCCTTCAGAAAATTAAGAAGTTTCGATTTTATGACCTTTTTTTGAAACTTCAAGACTTCTCGAAAACTACCCTTCCAAATCTGAGTTTTCAGTATCGTTGTGTAGAACGGGTTGTGGGAAGCTCCCCTGTTTAAGCGGTTACGCCCAAAAATTTAAAAGTTATGACCCTCGGAAAAGTCAATGTTTTGAATTCTTGTCTGTTTTCTTAGTTTTTTGGCTTCTCGAAAACAGCTCAATCTGATATCAAGTGTTTAATCAAGGTAACAGGCTGTGAGAAGCCTCTGTGCGTAAGATGCTACGCCTTAAAAATTGAACAAAAAATTTGTTTGAGAAAATTCCAAAATCAACAGTTTTTTCTCATTTTTAAAAGAACAACTAAGGTTTTGAGAGAAGCGCAATTCTTAACTTTTTGAAATTACCTTCTTCATCTCGCATCAGTACAACAAATTCAAAAATTATCAAACAGGTATCTCCAGTTCACTATGCATAATTTCGTTACATTATGACAACGTTGAAATTTAAATGTGGGGGAAGTGGAAAAGAGCCAGTTTGCTCTAATGACGAGAAATAAAGAGTGCACGTGGTTGACTTTTGCCTCCCCCTTGATATCGCATCGAAAATCGAAACTATGAACAAACAATTTTAGTGTTAAGTGGTTCTATAAGGTATTGTATGAAGGTATAAAATGTTTGTTAAGCTTAATTAGTCTGCATGACAATTTTAATTTTCCATAATAATCGGACAATGTAAATAAAGTATTTCGATTAAAGCTTTGCAGATGGTGAAAGAGCCACTATTGGTTTCGAAAATAGATTTTAGTATTTTGCTTTTCCAAGGAAATAAAAGGTTCTTTTTGATCCATTTTTCCCAGTTATCATGAAATTGTTTTGTTTTCATCTAATTTTTCAAGAAAGCTTCGAGAATAAAATATTCAAAGATCCTTGAAAAAAAATTTCGAAAGTAAGTGATTTTTTGCTGGCTCCTTGGGTTCATTGACACTTTCAATTATCTCATAGTATGTTCTCTAATTGTGCTAGCTTTTTTGTCAAATCAAGAATATCAGAACGATCTTTAAGCCGATTTTACGGGCTGTTTTTTAAGAAGCGATGGCCGTAGTTCAGACTTATATAGGTAGTGATGAATTTTTTTCAGGAGAAGACAAATATTTTGTTCAATTTTAGGACTTCGTGGTTTTTTGAATTGTTTTAGGAAAAAGTTCGAAGTTTGACTTGATTTCTAAGACCGCGAAATGTGAGTGATTCTAGTTTCGAAAGTGGAATTTAATTTTCAGATATTCTAGCGAATCGAAAAGCTTACTCCTTGATCCAGTCTTCTCAAATTAGGTTTATTTAATAAAAAAAAATGTCATTCATGAGTTTTCCAGAAATTCAGAGAGCTTTAAGGCTAGTTTTTCTCTTGGAAATTCAATTTTTCAATCTGAATCTTTTCCATTTGAATATTTTCCAACTGCCTGTTGGCTGTGATCTTTGGTTATCCTTGAGTTGATTAACGCTTCCATTTTTCTTTTTTTTTGCCATCTGTTACGAGTTTAATGTTTTAGGCGGCGATGCAACCTCAACCACAGAGGCACATGAAATACGGTGGAGCCACTGGAGTAAATTTGAGGAATCCAGGTGTGCAACCTCAGGCGGGAGCACCCAATTCCTCTGCAGGGATGATGCAAAATGGCAAAGGGGGAGGAAAGAAGCTGGCAATTGATTCTCAACAGTTGGCAGGTTGCACTCCGCAGCAGCAAAAGCAAACACTTGGTGAGTATCTCTACCCGATCATCGCGGAAATGCAGGGTGTGGATCTTGCAGGTCGAATAACTGGCATGTTGCTTGAGTTGGATAACTCTGACTTGATGGACATGCTGGGGGCACATGACGAAGGAGGAGAAGAGTTAAAGAAAAAGGTGGACGAGGCTGTTGCTGTCATCAAAGCACATGCCGCACGTGAAGCAGTCACTTCTGTGACTCGCCAAGCCATGGAGACCTAAAAATCAGTCAAGCTATGGCAAGGAACACGAATCAGCGCAGCAAAAACAAGTAGATCATTCATTCATCACCAAAAATTTCGATTACTCTGGAACTCGGACTATCTTGACAGCTCCTTTGTGTCGTGTACAGCCACAATAAAAAAAACAAAATTCAGTTCTCTAAATGCTCGAACACGAAGACTTGCTGGCTACCTTATAATAACAGACTCTAAAGAAAAGACAAGGACTTGCTCATTTTTGTTTTCCTATATCCAGATATCGATTCTGATAGTGCAAATTCAAAATTACTTATGTGAGATATAAATAAGCTGCAATAGTCAGAATCGATGAAACTTTTGACTTATTCTCTAATGTTAATGCTTGGGATCTGCCTCTTATATGAGTGCTCCTTTCGCTTTGTGTTAAAAGTCTTTTCGAGAGCCATCGTTGTTTATGTAGCTAAAAGCTTGTCTTTGGATTGGATATTAAAAACCAAGGATCCTTAAAAAAAGCTGTTCAATCGTTTGAGTTGCTTTAAAGTATCTTAATCACGTTCGACGCTTGTTCAAAAAAAAAGTATATACTCTTGTTTTCAGCTGATAAAGAGTTGAGTTGAGACAAAAGTAGGACTGGTCTGGGGCCGATCGTTTAGCAGACCAATCATAGCATAAAAAGTGAAAATTGAGTCTTTTAGCAGACCAGCGTAATGAAGTGATGCATGATTGATTGACAGACTCAAAGAGACGCTCAGTCTTGGGTCAAGCTTCTCCAAGACAATTATCTCACAATTTGTCAACAATACTATGAAATTCGAAAGCACAGCAGTCTAAATTAACGGCAAAACGAAGATTTACGCGCACAATAACACTCGTGCCGAATTGAAGCGCAGTGGAGCAAGCGGTCGCTAATCGCCAATGTCGCATTTGAAGTTAGCTTTGTGACTCTATAATTGTTCTGAGTCTGCTAAAAGATTGGTCTGCTGAAAAAGCGGTCTGCTAAAATCCCTAGCACTGACTAGTCCAAAGTAGCAAAACGTCTAAATAGGAAGAGACCTATGAATTTGGACAGTTGGTCCTGAAAGTATCGAGAAATGAATTTGTTAAGCTAATTCAAGTGTTGACAATATTGGTGATCCGGAGCGATTTAAGTATTTAAAAGCTGAAGAATTTAAGGTTTATTAAGACTAATGAACGTAGTAAAGACTCTTTTATAGGTGTTGCTGATTTTTTTGTTTTTCAGGAGAAGTCTGTAATAACCACACATGTGCATTCATAGATATTGATGCATTTATGAATACATTTAGATATCTATATCTATGCATTTTTTGAGTTCAATTGAAATTAATCTGCTTAAAGTGACGTAAATAGCATTCTCCAAATAAGAACGTGGAAATGGCGCGAAAAACGAAAGTTTTCAAGTTTCGAAAGCGGAATACAAACTTATTGATCCAGTTTCTCCAGTTGGGTTCGTGTTATCAAAAAAGCTCCAATCACTAACTGTTCTAGAAATTCAGAGCTTAAAGAGCATTTATTTTTTTCTTGCAAATTTGAAAGTGTTGAATTTTTTTCAAGAAAATCTGTTTTTTTTATGTACATAGTGTTCATTCCTCTCTTCCAATCTTTGCTTGGCTGTTTATTTTTTGGAAATGTTTTGTCTCGAAATCGGCGAGGAAATTTTAAAAAATGCAAAGAAATTTCAAAATGATCAGAAGGTTCAAATTCGGTGACCCAAGAGGATATTGCCAGGAATTGGGCATCTATAATTCGCAATTCGGAAGTGCCTGGGGTCCAAATACTTCAAATATGTAAAAGTTATGAAAATGCTAGACATTCAAATGTTTCAAACAGGTATCAAATAAGCAATTTTTGGGCAAATTTTTTTAGGAAAAAGTTCTCTCAAATTTGCTTTTTCCTTGACTTTTGATTTCTTGTTCAATTCATTTCCCATTTTAAGAAAGGCTAACTCCACTTCCGAACAACAATAATGTCAACGTCGCAAAACATGAGCGAATTATATTTTTAATTTATTTTTGAATTTCTCAGCGGAATAAATATACTACCAACTGTTTTGAAAGAAAACATTCCGTTTTAATAGTAATGAACGTAGTGAGTACTCTTTCATAGGTTTTGCTGATCTTTTTTAGAGATAAAAATTTTGCCTATTTATCCAATTTTTTAAAATTCGGTTAATTTTAACAAAGAAATGTCCATCATATATTGTTCTACAAATGCGAAGAGCTTTAAGACCATTTATTTTTCAAAATTCTGAAGTTGAAGGTTTTCGAAAAAACAAGTCAATTTTTTTTCAGTTTCTTTGCATTCAATACTCGTTTCCAACTGTCAGTTGGCTAAGTTTAATTACAAAACCGTTTTAAATAGCCTTCGAAATCTTCCAATAATTTCAGCTGATAAAATTCACTTAATTCCTATTCACTGCAGTTTACTCATAAAACGAAAAAATTCAACTATTCAATTTGTTCCCTCGAAGCAACAGAATTTGGAAAAATTGATGAGGGGCATCCAAAGTGACCGTATTTTCTTCCTTCGAAAGTTTAAAGTAACAAGAGAAGATTACCTATAAAAATAAAGATGTTTAGGAGTTTTGCGCTGAAATTGATTGAAATTTGAAAATATTAACGCGGTACACCAGTAACGATTTAGCTCAAATTTGAACGAATTTGCTCTTAATTTTTCAGGGTAACATTGAGCGAAACCAATTCGAACTTTTTCACATTATACAGGAAAAAACCAAAGATAGACTTAATCCATCGATTAAATTATCAAGCAACTAGCCGAGAGCAAAAATTAAACCACTCCTTATGACCAAGAAAAGTTAGTGCCGTATTTCTAGTATGCGTGATAGAAAAACTGCGCGTGCAATTTATTACACAAACAGAATTGGACAAATCTTAATACACTAAAAAGAGACAAAAAGAATAATTACGCGACGCTTTTCATGTTTTTATTGATAACAAAAAACGATAAATGTACTCAGCCAGTCACAACAAAAAATGAAAAACGAGGTTGCATGCGCTGGAAAAAAAGAGAAAAGAAAAAATGTAACATATAATATGGGAGGAGAAGCCCCCAAATATTGGGGTAGGTTCCTCTATAATCAAAAAAAAATTTCATACCTTGCTTAGAATAAACTTTGTTAATTACTGTTTTTTTAAGAGCCGATAAACGTAGTTTAGAAATGAAGCAGTCAAGTTTCGGTCAAGTTTCAAAAACGGCTCACCTTGATATCCATTGAAAGTTTTCATTTCGGTGAAAAGATTTTGGTTGTTTTAACAATGCTTTTTCCCAAAATCTCTAATTGAGAAAAACAGCTCGAAACAAGACTAACTTATCAAAAATTTCTCAGCCCTAAGGGGTTTTTAAATTCGATCTGGTTTTTCTACAGTGAAATATTTTGATTAATCGGAAAATTACCAATTTTTACATTTTTTTAAATTTTGAGTAAAAAATGACAGAATAAACTCATTTCACTTAAAATGCGTTCTTTTTTACACAAGCAAAGCTTGTGTTATTGTATGAACTCTCTTTTTTCCAACCTAAGTGCAAATATTTTTGCGACGCAAATAAAGTGCAACAAAAAGTGTTCATTTTGAAAGTGCTCATTTTGATCAATAACCAGCTATTAAGTACAGCCAATACAAAGGATATTAACACAGACTATTATATTACAAATAGCACTTTAGCATCAAGTATCATAGATCTGTAGCGTGGAGGTAGGAAGGAGAATTGCACCAAAAAAAGAGTTCGAATTCAGGCAGGGATAATATAAATGAATTTTTTCCTATGATAGCTAAAATGCGTCTGTTCTATAAATGGAGACAAGTTAGTTACTAAATTTCTTTTTGTTTCAATTTGACTGTTACTGCTAATGCGTCAAAATCGGCCTGCGTTCCTTAGCAATTATGTAGACTCATAATTGATGTGCGTCACTAAAGATATTTTGTTGACTCAAGTACTATTCATTCAGTTCTTCCCAGTAAGATTATCTGTTATACTTTTGATTGTGTATGCGAAGTGCGACTTCATCTCTACATTAAGTTTTCATTTATAAATGCACTATAAAAGTGGATGTAAAATCAGTAGATACGTTCAATTTGAGTTCTAGCTTTAACAATTCCCTGAGTCCCAGAGATAACTACTGCACTAGAAAATGGACCACCAAATTTGTATTATCAATTATTTAGAGTTTCAGTGTTAACAAAGCTTTGAGTCACTGATATAAATAATGCACTATGAAAAGTATCAAGTTAATAAAAAACTCAGTTAATTTGAGGTTCCAGCTTTAACAATGCAAGAAGTCCGAGATAAAAACTAAATCACAAGAAAAATGGATCTCGATATCATTAAATGCAATATTTTTGAGTTCCAGCGTTATCAATTCCTTATGTCTCAGAGATAACTACTGCGTTACAAAAGTGGACCCCGAAATCAATATTATCAGTTATTTTCAGTTCCAGCTTTAACATAGCATTGAGCATATATAAATAATGCACTACGAAAAGTATCAAATTTATATAAAAAAAATTCACTTACTTGGATCTTTCAGCTGGAACAATTCAAGGAATCCGATGAAAAACTTTTTCACTGCAAAAGTGGATCTCGAAATCATTGAATGCAATCATTTTGAGTTCCAATCTAACAATTCATTGATTCCCAGAGATGTCTACTAGAAGTGCATCTCCAAGTCCGAAAGTGGGCATGGAAACCATTAGACTTATTTATTTTGAGTTTCAACTTCAAAGCAAAATTGAGTCACAGTTAAAACTAATGCACTGGAAAAAAATCTAATTAAGAAAATTGTTTCGAACTTGAGTCCCGGCTTTAACCATGCATTGAGTCCCAGATATAACTACTGCAATAAAAAAGGAATCTCGAAATCAAAATTTCAACTAATTTGAGTTCTATTTTTAGCAAAGCTTCGCATCACAGTTACAAAAGATGCACTACAAAGAGTATCTACTTATCGAGCCATGCGTTCATTTTGAATTCCAGCTGTACCAATGCCTTGAGTCCCAAAGATTACTGCTGCACTACAAAAGTGGATTTCGAAATCAGTAAAAGATTTTGTTTGATTTCCAACTTCAAAAAAGCATTGAGTCACATATAAGTAATGCACTGCGAAAAAGTATATTTATCAAAAAAAAGCACTGATCTTGAGTATCAGCTCTAGAAATGCATGGAATCCCAGCATTAACTACTGCAATTTAAGACTGGACCTAGTAATCAATTGAATCAAAAAATATGAGTTCCAGCTTTAACAATCCACTGTGTGTCAGATACCACTGATGCACGACAAAAGTTACTTGTGATTCCAAAACGCAATCATTTTGAGTTCCAACTTCAACAATATCTTGAGCTCCAGAAATAATTATTGCACAACAAAAAGATTTTTGTTAAGAAAATAAGATTGATTTCGAATTCCAGCTTAAGAAATGCATAGAATCACAGCTGTATTTTTTGGAGTGAAATGTGGACCTTGAAGTCAAGAACGCATTTTTGAGTTCCAGCTTTAAAAAACATTGAGTCACAGATATAAAAAAGCACTAAAATGTATCTAGTTATCAAAAATGCA